ACCTTTCAAAAAAGGAAAAAAAAAAAAAAAAAAAAAAAAAAACTATGGCCTCGTTCATTTTACCGATTCGAGTTTTCAATTTTAAGTTTCTACAGTAAAAAACTCTTAAAAAATATCACATCTAACTTTTTTTACTATAATAAAAAACTTTTAAAAAAATTTTATCTCTTAACTCGAATTTAAAATTTGAGTCCGCGCCTCCTATGTGATTGCACACAACAATCCGTTAAACAATGCATGTTTGGAATTCTGTGTCATTTTGAAAAAAAAATGGTAAAATGACTTTTTATTGGTTTTGCATCATAGGACATGGGGTAACAAAAACGCGTGTGTTGCACATGTGGTGCTCACAGATAGCATAATAATAATAATAGAAAAATATTAACGTTATTTTTTTGTCACTTTTTTTATTATTTTTAATATTTAACACGTAAATTTAATTATCTTATTTTTTATTTAAAATAATAATATATCGTTTTAATAAAATACACACATTAAACAATAAAAATATAAAATGAGAAATAAAGTGACAGTAGTATCTTTTCATAATCATAACATTGTTGTAAGGCTAAAGCTAAAGATATTAATTCGTTAGCTAGTAATTTAGGCGGGTCCCAGGTCCAACGGCTAGTGATCTGACATGACAAAGTATACGTTTGTGATAAGGATACATAAGGGCTTGCAATATATTGAACTGTCGGCAGCGTATTATCATAGACGATCACAACCCCATTGGTTCCTTTTCTTTGTTTTTTGTTTTTTTTTTAATTTTTTTTTAATTATTATTTTTGTGCATTGCGTCAACAATTTAACTAGCAATGTCTAAAGAGGATTCTAAGGTAGAGTAAAATACTCTATGATTTTTGTATAATTCTAAACCGTTAAATTATAACGGTCACGTCAAAGTAAAATAAGTAAATGAACCGTCGTGATAAAAATTAAATTATAACAGTCACATCAAAGTAAAAGAAGTAAATGAACTGTTGTGATGAAAAATAATAAAAATATTAAAAAAAATAAAGAATTTATTTTTAAGAGTATACGAGTCTAGACATTTACTTCTTATTTTTTATAAATATTTTTTTATTAGTGTAATTACTTGACTAAAAAAATTATAAATAAAAAATAAAGAGTAAAAATTATGACTCATATACTTTTAAAGGTATTTATTAAGATTACTCATAAATATTTGACGGCTTAAAATTACATGATACTAAGAATTTTTTGACATTAAAGCTATCTAGCCCCACAAAGGCCATGATTAAATTTAAAATAAAAAAATTGCTTTAAATATAGGAAGGTGATTTATTTCACCAAATCTAATTGGATTGGCAAATGGTGATCAATGTTATTTTTGAAATGGCCAATTATTGGGGGTCTATTATTTTTTTTCCCCGGAGAGGATAAAGAGTTGAGCTTTTTTGTGCATTTGCTTGATATTATAGAATAGCTCTAATTATTTAGAGCCTTGAATATGCTAAAGCACTTAATGCCTTAAATTAAATTCATAGGTCTAATTATGGCTTTCCACTATAAAGTTCTCCATGTAATTATTTTTTGCTAGAATTTCCTCATAATTATTGACATATCCGAAATTGAACTTTTGGTATTAAATCACAGGGAGCATCAAAATATGGAGGACTTGCGCCAAAGAAGAAGCCTTTGATCTCAAAGGTAAAATGTAGATATTCAAATCCTCAATTTCAATATTTTTTTTTTTTCATTACATTTTATTAAAAAAAAAAACGCTTAGAAGATTCAACTCATTTATTTATTTATTTATGGGTGTAGGATCATGAACGTGCCTTCTTTGATTCTGCAGACTGGGCATTATGCAAGGTATTAACTCCTAATAAAGAAGATAACAACATTAAATAGTGTAGAGAACATAATGCATTTAATTTCATTTTTTGAGGCATCGATGGCAAAATCCTTACTAAGAAAAAAAAAAGGACAAAAAAAAGAAAAAAAGAAAAATTAGTTGGGACCTTGAAAGCTTTGCCCTACATCAACTTTGAACTAATATGATCAACCAGTTAAAAGAAACAAGAATGTTTCCTTTCTTTTCCTTTTCTTCCCCCCCCCCCCCCCCCCCCCTTTTTTTTTTGGCTTATTTTAGCAAGAAGAGTGAAAGGAAGGTTTAATATTAAAGGATATTAATTATAGCTTTTCCTTCTATATAGCATTTGATATGTATCACATGAACCTCTTTTTTGTTGTTAGTTAAAAATTACTAGCAAAAATCAACATTTCATTTCTGGAATTTTTGAACTTGTTGCAATACTGCAGCAAGGTGCAGGGGAAAATAAAAAATCGACAGCTGCTGTAGAAACCTTGCGGCCAAAACTTCAGGTATATTTGATAATATGTATGTATGTATGTATATATATATATATTCCATAACATATTTATGTGTGTGTATATATAGATGGAAATGTATACGTTGGTAGTTTGGTTTAATTTTTCATCTCCTTTCAGATGAATATGTCCATATAAAAAAAATTTAAATGACAATAAGCACTTTTCCTTTAAACACGTAAATATACGCGCGCGCATATATATATTACTGAAATATTTACCTAAATAATTATTGTTTTGACCATAAAATATTAATCCGATGGTAATAATAAATTATATAGTTGAGTAAAAAAAATTTATGACAATTAATGAAACTAAATTCTTATCTTGTCACGTCATTAAATTTTTATATTTAATGATAACTGCCGATAGAAACGTAACCACTAAAAACTCGTCCATTATGCCCATATAGTGAAAATACTGTTATAATATGCAGAGAACGCCCCATCAACAACTACCTCCAAGGAGACCTGCTTGTGTCTCCGGCAAAGATACCCTTGTAAGTTCTCAGTCCACAACTATAATCTTTGTGTTTATCATCTTTATTCAAGTACTATATATTGTACTAATTATTCAACTTTCAATTTTGATGTTGCAGGAAGAGTAAATTGTTGAGTGCTCAAGGAGAGTTCTTTCGTTAATCTTGGAAAGGAAGGGGAAAAAAAAGTTCCTTGGTGTGTGATAATAATAAAAACAAGGAATTTATGTTCATGGTACAGATAGCTTTGTTAATTTTTTTTGTTTTGTTTCTCTTTTTAGTTTTTCAATTAGCTCGATTAGAATAAAGGGATCTCCTTTGCACAAGAGAGATGTTCTGAGGTGCCATTTTGAAAATTGTGATGAATGCTTTGCGTAATGGTGATCACCTTTTGTGTATTTTAGTACTTGTTAAAAGACTTGGTCGAGAAAATAGAAAATGAAATCGTGTATAGAAATTTGCACAAAGAGAATGCTCAACATCATAATAAACAAAAATCCAAAAAAATTAGGAGGGACTTATATCATTTTTTTATTTTGTTTTATTTACATATCCATCAAGTAAGTCACTACATTCTTATATAGGGTTGTTCATGGGTTGGGTTGGTGCGGGGTAGGACTTTTTTTTTCCTGCCCTAAAGGGTGCGGATTGCACATATTTGGCCCTAACGATGTTAGAAAAATTTCACAACCCAACGATGTTCGGGTTGGGTTGGGGCGGTGCGGGGTGGGTTGGGTGGTCGGTTTCAACATTCAAAAAATCAAAGACTTACAGTTCAATATAATATTCAAACTTCATCATTAAATAGAAATAGCAACCATTCTTATCAGTCCGGCGAGAGAGCACCGGAGAAAGTGGGCAATACGGCGGCCGAGAGGACTGAGCAATGAGGAGAGAGTTATGAGGGGGTTCACGGGAGGGGAAGAAGAGGGAAAACTGAAAAGGAAGAGGCAAGAAGAGGGGGTTCTCGGGAGGGGAGACCGAGAATGAGAATGTGAACCCTAATGTTAGCGAGCCTAAGGTAGAACTTGGGCAGTTCGGCTTGGGCAGAAAGCTTGGGGGTATGTTGTGCGGGTTGGGTTGGGGATTGCGGGTTGGGCCCATGCCCAACCTGCAATCCGCCCCAAACACTTCGGGCTAGAAGTATAATGGGCCAAAAATTTAAAAATAATGCTGTGGGTTGCTTTTTTCGGCTTGGGTTGGGGCGGGATGGGTTGGGTTTGCGGGTTGTTCCGATTTATGAACAGCCCTAACCACAAGAAAAGTTAAAGAAAATCTTAGCAAAAAAATTTGAGCAACATTTGATCATTACATTTTTTGATAATTTTCATCTCCCTTAATCTCTCAACCCAAAATCCAATACTCTTAAGGGTATTTGCATACCCAAAGAACCCATATTCTCTACTCTTGTTCATACTACAAACATGTTGAAACTCAAAATGTAACACATTTTTAAGAGCAGTAAAGCTTGTAATTTCCTCTAACTTGGTCTTGTAAAGCCCATGATTTTCCACAATTTAATTCCAAACTTTCCCTTTGTCCTTCATCATTTCCACCAAATCAAACTCGTCCTTCTCATCAAACGGCACAAATTCAACGTCAAAAACTTGGGACAACACATTCGACATAAAAACGTCGCCGTTTGAGCAGTTAAAGGCCTCGTTCTTGGGTTGGGCTGTGACCGCGGCCCATATATGTTGCTCGGCCAGCACGCGCGCGTCCGACGCGTCACAGAAATGCTCCCATGTGTGGTGCGTGCTGGGGAACGAAACCTCAGCCCCTCGTCCCGGCAAATTGCAGCGTAGGCCGCAATGTTCGGCAGCACGTTGTACACACTCCTCAAGGACACGCTGACTTGAGGGGCGGTGGATGGAGTACGTGACCTTCGGCGCGTGCGAGGCCACGAGGTCCTCCAACGCATAGTAGAAGTTCGGGTAGGGAAGCCGGGCCAAGTCTTCACTAAACAGCGGGTCATGCGGGGACGAGTTGGGTCAAATGGGCCGGGTCATGAATTGGTCCCTTCTAGTGTTGGGCCCCGGTTTGGAGTGTGATGTGGGTTAGGGGTGAGCCCGGATCCGACTTGAGGACATTAAGGACATTTTCTAACATTATGGCGGATGAAGAGAGATTATTGAGTTCGCCAACTATGAGATGTTACGTTGGGGCACAATATGCGGTCCTCTTCTGGTGTACACATGAAACTTCTATAATCTATCATAACTAGAGGTAAATTTTTGTTTTGTTTCGTTTTTTTTTGTTTTTATTTTTATTTTTCTTTTTCAGATCAAAAGTTGGCTAAGAATTCGAGTTCGGACATCGAGTTTTGTTACAGTAAAAAACTCTCATAACTAGTTACATATAATTTTTTTATCACAGTAAAAAAATTCACATAAAATTACATCTTAACTCGAATTAAAAATTCGAATCAACGAATTAAGCGGGTCCTAAATAAAATAATTAACGTTGATGTGGTTACTCAACGTGCGTGTTTACCTTTTCTTTTTTGTAATAAAAAAAACTTCTCACTTTATTAAGGGACAAACATATTGCCAATTTAGAAAAGAGCTAGTAATTTTGTAATGGATAAGGGATAAAAAGGGGTTAGTGTTATGATTTCTACGGGGTTTAAAAAAGAAAAGTGAGAAGTTTAACATTAGAAACAAATTTTTAAAAGGAAAAATTTGGAAAAAAAAATTTAAATTGAGAAAATTTATTTTTAAATTTAAAAATATATATTCGAATTATTTTCTTAAATTCC